AATAGAAATTTTGGGAGCCATCAAAGTACCCGCAACTTAGCCGAATCGCGACTTACCGAGGCGCGACTTAGCGAGGGGTCACTGTATATATGCTGAATCAGTTATAATATTGCTCCAATATTGATATAATGAAATGAATACATTATGAACTGAAAGGTACCCTTCATGGAAGTGCTGATCAAACACTGCATTATAATTAGTATTCTAACAGTAGGTACATGGTATTTAACACATCATTAACTGCAGTGTTTTGATCCCATTCTCTGATAAAGTGAAATTTATACCATCAGTAAATCATGATAAGCATTTTAATTTTAAACATGATGTGTTTATACTGCTATTTTATACTGATATCATGTCTTGGGATTTGGTAGAGTAATAAAAAACAGTCCATCTATAAATTTACGTATGAAAATTAGCTGTGAGGATCTTTTATCATCTTCTCGTGTTTATTTTATGCCCTAGCTTGGACTGCAATGGTACATTTGTGTAAACCAAACTTGTGTCATTTGAAGCTTTATCAGTGCTTAATACATTCTACAATGTAATTTGTCTGTATATTGACAAACTCATTTTTCTCAGAGATAGCATAATTCTTTGCAAACTGCCCCCCATACCATTCGAACAACATTCACATGAACAGAAATTTGCACATAAAAGGGAATAAAGTATGATAACTTTACTCATTGTTAAGTAAATTAATACTCAGAACTTCTGAATTATCCAAATGATGATAACTTTTTAGCTCCTAACTGGTTACAGTCTTGGGGCTTATAGATTGGGTTTTGATTATTTTGTCGTCCAAACATTGTAAATGGTTAATGCACGATTGTATGTGCTTCTGATCTAAGATGGTTGACTGGTGGCCATTTAGTTTTTACCCAATTAATTATTGAAAAAATAATATTTTGTCTTTATTTGCACAATTCTGCTTAGATCAAATTGACAATGTCTAATGTGACCCAAATTTTGTATACAACGTCGACGTCCGTGTCAATGTTTTACTTTTTCAACTTCTTCTTGAAAACTACAAGCCTGAATGCTTTGATACTTGGTGTATATGTACCTTGGGTAGACCTCTTTTAGGTTTGTTCATTTCATGTTGATATCTTCAATTCTCTAATTTTGGTGAATATTTTTGTCATTATTGGTAAAAAGTGATATTTTCGACTTCTTGTTAAAAACCGCGAGTCCAATTGCTTTGATACTACATATATAGGTACTGCATGTGGACCTCTTTCAGATTTGTTCATTTTGTAATGATATCTTCAATTCTCTAATTTTGGTGAATATTTTTGTCATTTTTGGTAAAAAGTGATATTTTCGACTTCTTGTTAAAAACCAAAAATTCAATTGCTTTGATATTACATATATAGATACTACATGTGGACCTCTCTCAGAGTTGTTCATTTCATGATGATATCTTCAATTCTCTAATTTTGGTGAATATTTTTGTCATTTTTGGTAAAAAGTGATATTTTCGACTTCTTGTTAAAAACTGTAAGTCCGATTGCTTTGATATTACATATATAGGTACTACATGTGGACCTCTCTCAGATTTGTTCATTTTGTGTTGATATCTTCTGTTCTTTAATTGCCATGTGCATTGCTAACATCGGAGCTATCTCAGCCGACAGGCTGCTTTATTTTACCAAGCACTCCCTCTATCAAGAGGGACTGTATACCAAGTACCGTACTCGACCGCATTAGCGCCCAGGGGCCTCAACTCAGAAAATCACGATTTTGTAGGGGTGGGTGCTTACCCGAGCACCCCCCTCGAAAAAGAGTGCAAATGAAAATTTTGATTCATCAAGTGACAGATTACGTCTTTGAGGGAAAATCAAATTACTAAATTAGTTGCGTCGTCATTGATTTTCACAATGAAGAAACAGAAATGATCACAAAAAATGCGCACATTTTATTACAATATTAATTACGTACCACCATAATTTACGAAATTAAAAACATTTGAGTCTGTTGGAACACAGTCAAAGTCAAAATTGTCATATTATTTCCACTGACGAAGTTGTTGGATCGTACGCAAACTCTCGATGAAAATCACTTTCCGCCATGATGCAATTGCAGATTTGACCTGCAAGTTGGTTATTAACTAATCAGAATGCTGTCTTGTACTGACGCAATTCTTCGGAAATTCCCGAAGACTTTCCGGTAACACAATGCTGAAGTGAATAATCGATGTCGAAGTACGATCTGTTGGAATTGATTTCAGCGAATAAACAACATGGTTTTTCAAAAAAAATAGTAACTAGCCATCCCTTTTTTGAGAGGTAAACTGAATATGGCATGAAATATTTATCGCATTTTACTTGTATTAACAGGTCATTGTCGAAGCGTAGTTTACGCACGGTTACCGTGTTCTACGCATTCACAACATGTTCACAGCGATCGATATCCACGCTGTATCATATAAAAATGATTACCAAGATTCGTTACGCAAGACCAAGTTTTAAATTAGTTGCATTTTGAAGGGGTGGGCGCTTTGCCGAATGTGACCCCAAATATAAAAATTGCGCAAAACTGGGGGGTGGGCGCTTGCCCGGGCATGGACGCTAACGCGGTCGAGTACGGTATATGTCATTTCTGTCGTGAGTTCTGATTGGGTAATGCAAATGAAAGAAAGTGAATCTTATAATCGCTTGAGGGCGTGCGACATACAGTAAATCATGGTAAAATCTGCCAAGGGTTAATGCTTCGGCCAAATAAATTGTCCTTGGCTGGCGAAGATGTCCGAAAAAAGGAAACTTATGGATTGACTTCTGTGTGTGCATCCATCCGTATCCAGCCCTATCTCACACATGATTGGACAGATCAAATTCAAACTTCACACATACATCTGACTTAATATCCAACAAAGGCATGTACTTTTTTGTTGCCATCAAATCCAAAATGGCCAACTGATGGCTATCTTGTTTTGCAATTCCACTGAGCCATACATTTGTATCTTGTACATGTCTGTGGATACTATGGATATTACCCCAGTAGTCATGTGATATCTCATGTTTATAATACAAACTGGGACTATGTTATTAACAACATTACACATCAACGCAGTGTGTAGAATAAATGTAGCAGTCAAGTATCAATGGCTGACCAGCACTTATTTGGTTATAGCTACATGTAGCTTGTATAAATTCTAGGGAGAATAAACGCATTACTAATTAGGCACTTTTTACCTTAAGGTATTTTCAAGCCCTAGCTTTTTTTTACTCAAAGCTACATCAGTAAGTGATTGTAGGTGAGCAGCTAATTAGTGAAATTAAAACAAGTGAATAATTAATGATGTTACATTAATGCAGCTACACACTGTTAGATAATGGATAACAATCACATTTAAATGTAAATTGATATGAAAACCACATTCTCATTTCCTGAAAGTATTAAGAAGATAATCTTGAAGAAAGCCTGTCATTCCCAATGACGTGCATTGTCTAGATACAACTCGCATACAGATATTTCACAGAATTTAATTATAATAAGAGATCAAAAATCTTTATCAGTATTGTACATGTATTTATTGATTTTATTGCATCTTTCTAAAAACTCATTATACGTCTTGGGTTACAAAGCATATCATTTGTTTTGTGTTTGGATTAAGATAGCTGAATGACATTTATTTTAATGTTAAAAAATCTTCAAAACCTAGCACTGCTGTTATTCTAGAACCAGATCTTGGTCATGTATGGGTGGATTTCTTGCCAACTTGGTATAGTACCTACATCAAAAAACTATGGGACCTTCAATTCATGCACATCATTTTGTTTTGTTTTTCAAATCAGATTTTAAATGGCCAACTGGCGACCATTTTGTTTGAATAATGTTCAAACATTATTTAAACATCACACATGTCATGCATATGCACATTAATTTGTTTGATGACCCAATTCAAGATGGCTGAATGGTGGCCATTTTAATGTTGAAAAAGCATCATAATCAAGAACTTCTTTCATTACGGTTATATATAGTCTTGTTTCATACATTGAACATGCATATAACAGGACTATAATGTTTTGTCAGATTGTTTTCAAAATAGCTAAATGCAAATGCTATCCTAGAGTTCTGTTTCTAACATACATTGACAGATTGCAATAACAATTTGTAACTACATTATATATCAAAATGGCTGACTCATCTCATATTGTCTCAGAGACCTCTAAGAAATTACTAATATGCAGTTATTTAATCATCTGATAAATATTTTCAATCTAAAATAGATAAATTAGTCTTAAATAACTTTTTAGCTCCGCTGTCGACTTTGTCGAGCGGAGCTTATCATATGAGTGATTGTCTGTCGTCCGTGGCTCATGTCAATGTTTTACTCTTTCGACTTCTTCTTGAAAACTACAAGCCTGAATGTTTTGATACTTGGTGTATATGTACCTTGGGTAGACCTCTCTCTGATTTATTCATTTTGTAATGATATCTTTAATTCTCTAATTTTGGTGAATATTTTTGTCATTTTTGGTAAAAAGTGATATTTTCAACTTGTTAAAAACCGCTAGTCCAATTGCTTTGATATTACATATATAGGTACTACATGTGGACCTCTCTGAGATTTGTATATTTTTTTTGTAAAGATATCTTCAATTCTCTAATTTTGATGAATATTTTTGTAATTTTTGGTAAAAAGTGATATTTTTGACTTCTTGTTGAAAATCGCAAGTCCGATTGCTTTGATACTATACATATTGTTCATTTTCTAATGATATCTTCAGTTCTTTAATTATAATGTGCATTGCTAACAGTGGAGCTATCTCGGCCGATAGGCTGCTTGTTAAAAAAAAATCCTACCATTAGTAGTGTACTGAATACCAAAATGTACAGGTATTATTATAGGCTAAATCACATTTGTGAAAACTCATTTTTATTGCCAGAAGGGGAAAGACATAATCTGAGCTGAGAATTTCTCAATGTATTTAATAAACCAATCTAACAAATAAGCTCCCTGCATTTGGTTCATCAGTACAGCAGTTTTTAATGAAATGTCTTTACAACTGATTCAGTTTGCTATGAAGGAAATCCTAGTAGTTTATCTCGATACATCATTAAATGTTAATACCTATAACTATGTTTTAAATGATGGACTTCAATGTGATGAAGAGCACCTGGACAGGTGTGTTTAAACTCACTAAAGTGGCAAGGGATTATGTACATACAGAAAACCACAAATGAAATATTTACAGAGTGATAGCTTCTCAATAGTGACTTCTGTATATATTAAAAGGTATTTTTTCAATTGCTTTTATGTGACAGACAGACACGGCACTGTATAAATTGTTTTCCCTGAACAGGGTATCCATGATGCATTGCCCCTTGCAGTTTTTAGCTTCGCTGTCGACATCATCAAGCAAAGCTAATCATATTACTGATTGTTCATCCACGTCAACTTTTTACTTTTTCAACTTCTTGAAACCACAAGTCTGATTGTTATACTTAGTGTATTATGTACTTTGACTAGACCTTTCTTAGATTTGTTCATTTCATGATATCTTTATTCTCTAATTTTGATGAATATTTTTGTAATTTTCTGATATTTTTGACTTTTGAAAACACATTATTTATCAAATTACATTATTTGTGTATAACTTTGGTACATGTGTACCTCATATAATGCTGTTCATAGGTTTAAACTTTGATTATAAATATCACCTGCATCAAATCCGTACTTTCAATTCAATCTGCATACAGGTATTCTTTCTTATACTGTGGTACAGATTGCTTGTGAAATGTGCATTGCTAGCAGCGGAGCTATCGTAGCTGCGTATTTTTTTACAATTATATTTTGGGAGTTAAAAAAAAAATAGGAAACTTCTCGTTGCACATCTTAGTGATAGATATGAAGAATATAGTGGATTTCTGTATGCATTTTTTAAACACATGCACTTAAAATAGAAAACTTTTTTTTTTTTTGCTTGATGGGATACATTTTGTCATTTTT